CAAATCAGCGAGACTTTCTCTCCATCTTCATCTTTAACAGGCTGGCGTCACGCTCCTCAGTGAGTCACAGCGTTTCCTTGCATATGGCGTGCGGCATCTTCTGTTAACCTTTGACCCTTAAAGCTGCTGAGAAAGTCTTTGAGTGTTTAAAGTTCAGCTTTTTTTGTCCGAATTTGAGAGTTTTGGTAAATCGAGGCTGTAAAACTCTACATTTACACATCAGTTCTGTATCAAAAAGCTACAAAGTTGCTACATTCTTGTTCCGGTGTAATGGCAACGCGTCTCCACGCACAGGCTGCACTGTCCAGGAGGGGGTCCCCCCCCCTTATCATTTCTCCTCCAGCTGCAGAGCCACTGCAAAGCTGATCCAGAGTCAGTTTAGTCTATTACAGGTTTTAAAGAAAACCTTGTGTAGCCCTTTATTTGTGCTGCAAAGTGAGGCCGATCAGCAGCTGAGACAGTTTCTCCGTCCACGTTTCTCTTATTCAAGTAAAAAAAAAAAAAAATCCTTTGGCTACCTGCTGGATGTTTAAGTCTCCGCCTCACTGTCGTGTTCATCTTGATTGGTGGGTTCGTTTTGGTTTAGAACTCAGCGACCAATGAGACGAGCAGAGAGGCAGAGAAGAGAGAGAGCGACAGGGAGATGGCTGCCGCCCCGCCGCAGTCCTTAGCGTTCTCCTGTAGGACGAAACAAATGTGATGCTCAGTCCTGTCATAGCAGTTTCTCTGAGTACATCAGCCTGTTTCACCACACAATCATTAGTCAGCTTTACAGAGTGAACAGCAGATCATGGATGACCTGATGTATGAACGGTCCAGACTCTGGACTCATTTTAGCATAAATTATATTCTAACTCGTGCATACTTAAAGCGAGTAGACCTACAGTATCACAGTTTTTCTCTGCTTTTCTTAGATGCACTCAAACCTTCTGTTTACATGGGACAGCCAATCAAACAACAGCTGGGTTAAAGGGAGGAGGAGCTAAAAACAGCTTACTTCAGACTTGAGTGCTAGAAAATAAGGCAACATATTTTTGGTTTGGCTTCTTTAATTCTGAACCAACTGATGATATGAGATATTTAACCCACAGTCTGAGTGTTTCTTTGGAGATCATCCTGATAAATGATGCACCACAGTCCAGTGTAAGCCAAATGTAGATCATTACAAGCTATGACCCATCATGCAAAGCTCTTCTAGGGGACTCCAAGAATAAAAATAAGGAGCTGGAAATGTACCCAATACATCTGCTTTAAACAGTGTGACGGGACTGATGTTAGAGATTATACACGAGCTGCAACAACGACTGTTAAATGATTAGTGGAACGTTTAAAGTGAAGAATTTGAATCCCTTAAAAAAATCACTCTCAACAAAAGAGGTGATGTTCTGCTTTTCAGCTGACTGTTGGATGTGCTGCAGGACAGAGGTGCATCGGTACCCGATTGACCCTGAGACCTGCTTCGCCTTTATTTCACACACAGACACACACACCTTATGTGTTGTTGCTAGTTTTCTGTGTGAGATTCTTTATTTGCCTTTAAAATCACCACGTTTGTGTTTGTTAAATAGCCTTGCAGTTCTTTTGCGTTCACAGTCAGCAGCGGGGCTCAGCACTGACCTTCGGGTGGTAGGCGTGGCACGACTCAGGACGCCGCCGCACCTTCTGGGATTTCATCCTGTTGCACTTCACTGTGGCGTTATGTTCACAGATATTAAGGAAAACTGGAAGCTTGCTGTGGAATAAATATATAATGGGGACGAAATTTTGTAGAAACAAAGCATGACGTAAATCTGACGTTTCAAAGCCTCAGCTAAGAGCAAACAGATGCTGTGAGACTGCTCAGATAATCTATTAATGTTCTCATCATTGGCTGTGGAGTGCATCACTGATCTGAGGGAAAATGAGGAGATTACAGCACAAATGTGATTTTCCAGGCTGAATGCAGTCTTGCCCTCCCTG